GTGGTTGGGTAGCCGCATGCCACGTAATAGTTTGCGCATGCTGTTCTGCAGGGTCCTGTTCAGTCGTTCTGCAACACCTTGCTGCTGATGTGCGTAAGGAAGGGAGAGGAGTTGCTTGATCCCCCTTTCCGCCAAGAACTGCTTGAAGCGGTGAGAGGTGTACTCGCCACCTCCGTCTGACTGGAATTTTTTCAGTTGTGTTCCAGACTCTCTCTCTGCTATCGGTAGCCAGGCGGCGAATGCTGCGAGCGCCATGTCGCGGCTGGGTAGGTTGCGATGCCAGACGTATCGAGTGGCGGCGTCGATGAAGGTGATGGTGTAGTTGTAGTTGACTTGTCCTGGCTCGCGATTGTAGAGGATGTCGCTGTAGACTTTTTCGAGTGGTGCGTACGCTGTAGCGCTCGGGTTGTGATGTGAAGCAAACGGTCGATGAGGTAAGTCAGCTTCGGGACATATAAGGCAAGTCCCTCGTGCCTTCTGGAGTTCTCTGCCATCGGGTAGAAGTAGAGAATCTTTGTCAAGGACTCCTGCTCTTATCGTGTTATTCAAAACCGTGTTACTTGGATGTCCTGTTCGTGCGTGCCAGATCTCTTCAGAGGCACGGTGTCCAGGTGAACGCTGATATGCGTCGGAGTTGGAGTAAAAGCTGGCGACGAGGTTGGCGCTTCGGTGGACTTCACGTTGAGTCGGATTCAGCTGTTTCGCGGGTGTTGGTGGTGCTTCGTCGACTGTGACTGGTGTCGTTGTTCCTGCTGCTGCTGATGTTGTTGCTGCTGCCGATGTTGTTACTGCTGCTGATGTTGTTGCTGCTGCCGATGTTGTTACTGCTGCTGATGTTGTTGCTGCTGCCGATGTTGTTACTGCTGCCGATTGTCGAATTGTTGCTAATGCTCGTGTTCGTTCTGCTTCAGGAATGGTGTGCGAGTACCAGAAGCCTCCTGGGCTGAAGTCGGGGTCGAGATCCGGAGGGTGTGTCCAGTCAGTGAAATTCACGATGGCGTCGCTGTCTGCAGTGCCCAGGTCAGGAACGAAGTCGAGGACGAAGACGTTGTTCTTCAGCACTGCTTTCCCGATGTAGAGACCGCCTCTCCCGTGGTAAAGTTTGAATTCCTGGGTCGTGCTGTCGGCTTCCAGATGAATTCCTTTCGCCATCAACTGGCTAACGCTCAGTAAGTTGTAGCCGAGTCCTTCAGCGATGAGTACCTTAGACATGTGCAGTATGACATTTGTTTCTCTTGACTGAAGCTGTACCACTCCTTGTCTTCGTGTGCGCAGGTTTTGGTTGTTGGCAACCGTGATGATCACTTCCCGTTGGAGTCGATGTTCGCGTTGTACGAAACGCCCGGACGAGCACATGTGTTGCCCGCAGCAACTGTCCAAGAACCAGGTGTCTTGGCCGGACGGTTCACTTTGAGCGATGGCGGCGTACGTTGGATTCGGCTGGAGTAGCTCACGGCGAGGCGTTCTGTTGTCAAGCTCTTCTTCCGGTGAGTAGTGTGGTGGTGATTCGGTTGTACATGAATCGGTTATCTTCGTCATGCAGTTGATTATATTTCTTGCTCCTTGTGCAGGTTGTCCGGGTGAAGTCGTTGAAGCTTGAATAGTGGTCGTCGCACTTGCTTGTGTTGAAGCCATTTGGGAGCTTGAAGGTCGAAGTTGTCGCTGTGGTGCCGTTGATTGCTGACGATTCGGGCAGTGTGTGCGCGGGTGCCCTGAAGTCTTGCAGATGTGGCAGAAGGGAGGTACTATCTTCGGTTGCTGCTGTCGGTTGTTATAATTGCTGTGTCGTCGTTGAGTGTGGAATGCGAACTCTGATACTGTCGTTTTCTTCCTGTGTCGTTCTTCCTGCAGGTCCATATCTTGCTGCTCGGCATGTATTTCGGCGCAGAGTGCAGCTTCAGAGATTCTTCCGTGGGCTCGAAGAATGGCTTTGGTGGCGCGCCACTGAGGACCAAGCCCACCAATGATGACTGTCACGAAGGCGTCTTCAGAGATTGACCCTCCGCATCGAAGCAGCTTGTCGCGCAGTTCGCGACATCGGCTGATATACGCCAGTCCTTTTTCTCCTGGTTTCATTTCGACTGTCGTCAACTGCGCCATTAACCTGCTCTGGTTCACACTGTCTGTTGCTTGATACAGGTTCTTCAGATGGCTGTACGCGAGCTCCGCCGAGTTGCCGAAGGTCCGGTAAGAGCGAATGTTCTGCTGCTGAGTTGGTGTCACATTCCTCAATAGGATTGTATACGCCATCATTGATTGATACGTATACTGCTGCTTTTCATATTGTGTCCCGTTGGCTGGATACTGCAGGGACCCGTCGAAGAAGCCGAGTATCTACGCGCCCTCCATCATCAGCTCGAATTCAAAGGACCAGGTAAAGAAGTCTTTGCCGTCGAAGGGTCTTGACGTTTGCAGTTTTAAGACGTGTGCAAACTGCGACTGAACTTGAAGTGCGTCCAGTGGTCTTTCTTGTCCAGGTGAAGGTTGCGGGTGGGGCACGAAGCTGATTGACCCGCGCTCGTACGGAGCAAAGGTAGGTTGCTGCTGCTGGTTTCCTCGCGCATATGACGACCCATCAAGACTCATGGGTGTCGCTCCGTTGTTGCTGTTGTGTGTTTGTGCAGGTCCCGACTGCTGGTGTTGTTCGTAGAAGGACATGAAGGAGAAAAATTTCTCCATCATGTTCTGGTCAAAGTCCGAAGGGTGGTTTATGGGGGTCTCGGTTGACGTTCCTCTTGGTCTTGTTGCCGTGCCTTCTTCTGTCTGCAGGCCAGAGGCTGACGGTGGAGTAGGAGTAGTGCCCGAGGAGCCATTAGGGGAGCTCCTTTCCTTGTTTGTTGCCATGTCTTGTAATGATATTGAAAAAGAGTAGAATTTCCCTTGTCTGCTCTCATACCATGTTGGGCTGAGATAGCCCCTTAGGATCTTTGCAAGGGATAACTCTAGGTGAAGTAGTTGTAACAGCGGAAGCGTTTAGTGAAGAATTTGAACCGACCTTGCACTGGTGTGTGAGAGCAAAGTTGATTGAATTAAACAAGCAAATACAAGGATTTATATAAGAGTACAAGGAATAGATAGATAACTGTATTGCTGTTGCGGTTCGATATAGCGCGACTCGGGCAACTGCTCTGTAACGAGTCAGTTGTGTGTCCTTAACTGTCGCGCTGTAATTGTCGAGTCAAAGGTCAGCGACCTTTGACTTTCTCGTAACCTCCAGGCGGTTACCCTAACCTCCGAGGTTGACTCGATGCTTCGATTGGGACTGCTTCGCTTGGTACCTTGGATTTTGATACGACAGAAGCGCACTTAGGACTTATTGTTTCCAACAAACGCGAGGACATCGGCTCCTAGGTGCTAAGGTACGTGAGTCCCTTCGAGTGAAAAATCAAAAGTTGATTTCCTGAGGTGCGGAGATGCGCGGTCCGAAAGGAAAGAGGCTCTGATACCAAGTTTTACGGGTGCAATGAATCGAAGTAGCGAGAATTGCACTAGGGTGTCAAATGAGTACAACCATGTGAGCGAAGACATGAGCGAACATTTATACGCGAAACATGCAAACGGTAACGCGGTGCGTGCGAGCTAGCTATTACTATGCTGGCAGCGAGGCTCGGGCTAGTCCCAAAGCGTAGGCCGACACGGCCGGGCCAGCAGTGCGAGGTTTGGCAAAACAGTGCGCGCGAAGTTGGCGAAGTCCCGTTAGCAGTAACGGGCAAACAAAGGCTGTTGCTGTACGCAATGTAGTCAGGCTCCGTAAGGAATACCGAGAAACTCCTTACAGTACTAAGGTTGTTACGAGGCATCTGGTGCTTTCCACGTCAGCACAATATATCGATGTGGCTATCTTTCAGGGAAATTCCAACCAACCACCTTTCATCGACGCATTTGGCCGAAACAGACACCACCCACTTGGGAAACAGTTAACACTGCAAACGGCAATAGCACTTGCCGATCAGCCCATTATGCTGACCGAAATTCCTTCCAGCTTGTGTTCCAACCCAACACATTATAACAATTACGGTGAAACGTATTTTTAGAGGCTGTCAGCTGTTCGGCTACGTTCTGAATCTAACCTTCAGCTAACCCAAAAGGTTATGAATCCTTGGAACATCCCACCCTATCCATTCGCCGTAATTCGAGGAAGCAAAGGCCATGACAGACAGGTCCTCCGTAATTCGACTAGGCGTTTTACGCTTCGGTTTCCCCCCTCATTTGGCCGTTGGCTGATTGGTGACCGCTGCTGATTGAAGCAGGGTCCGCCTGGGGATTCACGATTCATGACGAACCTGGCCTTGATCAGCGTAGGTGTACCCAAGGGCACGCCGCCTTGCTGTACAGAACAGAATATGAAACCAAGTTTAGGAACAGAACAGACTGCCGTTGATCATACCAACCAGACATAGCAGCCTAGGTTTCATCATATGTCTTCTCCACCACCTTTCCTAGGAATCTCCTCGGTTCCATCCACCTTGGTTTTCTAGTCTCCTCTGAATCACCTCGAATTCATCAACTCCGGACGGGTGTGACAGAAACCAGTTCGCTGTAGGTAGTAGTATTTAGAAGTCAAGTTTGTCATTCCCTTGAACTTAGCTTCGGCTACAGCTATCACCGGGATTGCATGTGGAAAGTAGGAGAGACCGTTGCTGTAGGGGTAGGCGGACGCTCGGCTCTGCTGTCAAACGTCGCTCCGGACGCATCCAGAGGCGCTAAGAGTGAGTCCCTGTAACCACGTCTTGCTTTCGCACCGAAGCAATAAACGCTTTTCGCGAAGTGACTTACGTGACGCGTTATGGCTGTGACCTCACAATAGCTCTTGGCCTATTCGGCTCGTGACGTTTTATGTTTGTGTGGATGTGCGTCGCGCCGAGTTTAATTTTCGCATTCGTCAGTTCGGGCTTTCTAATCGGCTTTGACCCCTCCATCGTCCTTCTCCACAGCAATGCCGTTTGACTCAGTTTCCTCTGTCTGCGACTTCAAACTCCCGTCCTTCGCCATGGCGACAGAAATATCTGCTGGAGCGAGGTCAACCAGCCCGACCTCCACGTCACTTAGGCGAAGGCGGCAGGACCATAAGCGACATTCCCAGTCAAGCTCCTCGTCAGCCACCGCTTTGTTCCGTACCGGGCAAACCCCGGCCGGCGATTGGCAAGGAGCAGCAACCAGCACAACAAAGTGGCGTTGTCGGGTACGGTTTGTACCTTGTAGATTCATCCTTCGCTGTAGCGAGCCGACTAATGTGCAGCTGTCGCATATAGGACCCGACTAGTGACCTCAAGTAGCCTCCTTGCCCGGTACGTTCTAATGTCTACTTGAAGTCATCATAATACGTCCAGAACTCTAGAACGTTTCGCCGTGCTCTTTAAGAAGAACTATCAAGCTGTACTGATTCGCTTGTGTTGCATTCGGCTTTGCGCAGGCCGCCGTTCCGCACCAAGCCGCTGGTTCCAGAAACCGAGGTATGCCATGCTTTTTTCCTTTCTCGGTGTGAGATTAACCATTGAGGAGTGAACACATTTTTTTCCCCTTGTTACGCGTTCATTCATACAACGTCCCGTACGGATTCTTCAAACCGCGATCCCCCGTTTTGGTCGTATTGCGCGTTTGGCGTCCGTTGATGTCGTTTCTTCCCCTCCTTCCAGGTTCAGCTGAGGATGAGTCGGACATAGACGGGCTTGCAGAAGAGAGCGCTGTCCTGCGAATCACGAACCACCACGTGGATATGGACCTATCGGCAGACGACACAGAAACAGGCGACAGCGTGCGAGCAGTCGCATGGTCCGACGATAGCGGGTTACTCGTAGTCGAAGCAGACGATGGGAGCGAGATCAAAAGCAACGGTAGAGGGGGTGAACGTGCTGTGAACGGCAATGCCCTAGGGAGAGATAGCGGAAGGCAGAAAATAGCGGCGAAGGAAGAGGAGGGAATGGGGGAAGGAGAGGAGGAGCTAGGGGTGGCTAGCGAACTCCCTATACCGATATTATCTTCCGCAGAAGAACCCAAACGGCCGTACGAGTTCAAGATCCTCAAGGTGAGACATGTTTCCGAACACAGCACTGATCCCGTGTGTCGTAGCTTGTTTTTTTGCATTTCGTTTTGTGGCTTTGTCGTCCTCCATGGATGCGGAAATCACTTTATTCTGATTGCTGTATTTGCACCCTGTTGTCCTCATGTCTTCCTCATGCGCCTACCTCATACGGCTGTAATCTGTACGCCTGACTCTGTGTAACTGTCCATGCAGGAGGAGCTGAAGTTCTCACGCTACCTGAATGTCTTCAACCGAGTGGTCGAGGTAAGCTCTTTGCTCACGTGCGTGGCACTTCCTCTGTCAGCCATCTGTCACACGTTGCACGCTGCAGTGTGTTCGTTTGTAATGAAACATGGCTCTCTTCTCCAAGATGGAAACACGTTTTGAGTTCTGCTACTAGCGTGTGAAATCATGCAGCAGAAAGTTGTCAACTCCAGCCAACCCACCAGTCATCCACGTTGGCTTTGCCTTTGGAACACCAGCGACGTTCCTGCACTGGTTGACTTAATTGACGCAGAGTGTGGCTCTTACTATACTGTTCTCAATTTCAGACTCTTTCCCGGTTCTGAGCCGCATCCCGAGCCGCATCCCATGCCTCATCCCGTGCCTCATCCCGTACCTCATCCCATGCCTCATCCCATGCCTCATCCCATGCCCCATCCCGTGCCTCATCCCGTGCCTCATCCTCTGTTCCCATGCCTCATCCCATGTCACATCCCATGCCTCATTCCAGGGCCCATCACGTGCCTTATCCTGTGCCTCATCCCATGCTCATCCCGTTCCTCATCACATGCCTCATCTCGCACCACCCCACGACTCATTTCATGCCTCGCCTCATGCTCTTCCTCATCGTCCCCCTGTCCGGTCCTCTCCCCTACTCATTCCCTCTCCCCATCATCTATCCCTCCTCTCCCTTTCCCCTCCCTCTCTTTTCTCTGTCACCTCCCCCCCCCCCCCTCCCTCCCCCCCCTTTCCTCCTCTCCCGCTTTTCTTCCCCTCCTCTATCCCCCTCCCCCTTCCTATCCCCTAGCAGCATCCCCCCCAGCCTCTTCCCAACGGTCAAACCCTTCCAGCCAGCATGACCCGACCAGCATCGGACGAGCACCCGGTCGGCGGCGATTGTCTGCTAGCGGAGGAGTTCGGGGTGATAGAGGAGCGACCAGCGAACAGTAGCGGGCACTCGGGCGGGTGGATAGGGTACGGGTTGGAGCCGGGGCAGGGGGAGCAGCGGGCGGAGCTGTGGCCGCAGCAGGTGGTGGAATACGATGTGGTGGCGGCTAAGACCAAGTCGTGCCACTTTGTGTGCGTGCTGCCCTTCCATTCCAAGACCCAGACTGTTACTTTACTGAAGGAATACGCACAGGTACGTGGAGGAACATCGGGAAGAGTGCTGTAAGCCGCTGGTTAAAGGGTGGTGCAAGGCAGTGGGACAGGCATGGTGAGATGGAGCTTGTAGGTGGGGGCAGGGGGAGCAGCGGGTGGATGGAGGTGTGGTTGGCCGCAGCAGGCAGTTGAATATGATGTGGTGGCCTCTAAAACCTATGTCGTGCCACTTCGTCTGCGTTCTGCCGTTCCATTCAAAGCCCCAGACGGTTACTCTGTTGAAGGAATATGCACAGGCAGGAACAGAAAGGACGAGGTATTAAACGAATCAGGTACTTCCCTCTCCTCCCACACACCCTCTCCCCCCCTCTCCATCCTCCTAAATCTCCCTCCTCCCTCCTTCTCTGCCCCTTTCTCTCCCTCTCCCTCACCTGCATAGGCCACAAGCCCACAGGGAGCGAAATCTTTGGAATACACAGTGCCTTTCTCTCCCTCCCTTTGTCTTTTTGATTCTCCCTGTCTCTCTCTCTCCCTCCATTTCCTCCCCTTCCTCCACCCGCCTTCCTCCCCCTTCATTTCGTCCTCTCCCTCCACCTGTCCCTCACTGGCATGCATCTGACTGCTTTTGCCCGTCTCCCCTCCCATTTCCCCCCTCTCCCTCCGTCTCCCTCCCACTCCCTCCCTCTCCCTCCCACTCCCTCCCTCTCCCTCCCTCTCCCTCCCTCTCCTTCCCTCTCCCTCCCTCTCATTCCCTCTCCTTCCCTCTCCTTCCCTCTCCTTCCCTCACCTTCCCTCACCTTCCATCTCTTTTTCTCTCCTTCCCTCTCCTCCTTGTGCCTGCCTGCTCTGGAGATCTGCACATGTGTTTTGAAATGTCTCACAACTTGCTGCCTCTCCTGACCTCCACCTCTCCCTCTACCTCACCCCTGCGTGGCCCGCAGGGAGCGAACGCGCTGGTGTACACAGTGCCGTGTGGGGGGTACACGGACAACCACACGTCCCTGGAGGACTGTGCTCGCAGAGAGCTGTCTGAAGAGGTGAGCAATGGGAAGCGATAGATTTGTTTCGATTATTTACGAGAAAGAAGTATAGGAAGACTGAAATTAGGACTGTCTGATATAGAAGAGCTGTGCTTTGGAAAGAGACGAGCAACGATGGGGGTGATCTCGAAAGAGATGCAAGAGTGTGCGGATTCATGAGAGGGGCTGAAGAAGAGACATGCACCACAAGGTGCAGCATTGGAGAATTCTCAAAAGCAGCACCAACACAGTTGATCTCGGAAGAGACGAGCGATGTGAATTCATGAGGGGGATTGATGAGAGGACATGAGGCACATGGTGCAGTTCCCAGATGCGCTGTGGCCGTAAGTGCATCCGAAATGGTGGGATCAGAACTGCAATCAGGATCAGCTCAGCTGTTCACCACTCACAAGTGTGAGCTCTCTTATATTCTCATCACATCGCGCCCCATGCCTGTCCACCTCACTGCATGCACCAGGCGAAGCTGTGTGGAGGGCAGCTCATCAAGCTCGTGGGGGACGACCACCCTGGTCTGCTTGAGGTGAGTCGTCCCGCCTTTCCACGCTCATCCGTTTCTTCCTGCTCCACTCGGTGTGCGCTCCTTGCCCTTTCGGCCAAACACAGGCGCGATGACCTCGGAGGTGAACCTGTGTGCCTTGTCACTACTGCCTACCAGGTCTAATGTTTTTTTCCCCCGTTGTTTTGAGAAGAAGCTTGCTGCGTCTCCTTCCCTTGCTGCGTGGCAGGTCAAGTGCTGATCTGAAACACATTGAAAAGTAACATTTTTCATCGCTCTTCCTTGCTGCGTGGCAGGTCAAGTGGTGCAAGAACCGCTTCACTCCCTTCCTCGTCATTGACCCTCAGGTCAGTCAGCCTCCCCCCCTTTCAACCCCTCTTGTCAACCTTCCCCCTTCAACCCCCCCCGTCAATCTGCCCCCTTTCAACCCCCCTCACGTCAACCTCCACTGCACCTGAATCTCAATGTCATCAGGTGTAATAAAAACTCCTCCTGGATGCTGTCTGTCTCTCTGCTTCCCTCCGCCACTACCCTCCTTCCATAGCCCTCATCTCATCCCTCATGACCCCTTCGCATCCCCACTTTGCCCCTCCCTCCCCTCTCCCATCCCTTCTCTCCCTTCCTGTATCCCACAAGGTCTCGACGACCTAACAAGGTTGTGTTGAGCCTCTTTTAGGGGCGCCTCAAAGGTCAAAGCTCTTCCTTCCCCTTTGAGAGGGTGGCACTGGCTTTTACTATGTTGTTCCCTTGCTTCTTCCCTCACTCCGTTTTCCCTCCACAGGACGACCCCGACCCTCTCCACGGGATCTAGAGGGGTTCATAATGGTTCACCACGTGCTAGTGGGGTCCCTGCACTCACTCACTCCTTATCTCTTCCTTGTCGCTTCCCCCATTCCCCGTTCTCCACTCCACAGGACGACTCCGACCCTCTCCCAAGGGATCTAGAGGAGTTCATAGAGGTGCACCGGGTGCCGGTGGGGGACCTGCAGGGCATGGCGCTGAGTGGAGACATGCTGCTGCCCTCCGTGGTCACCTGCACCATGGCTCTGCAGTACCTCAAGGACAACGGCTGGCTGTAACGGGTGTGACTGTAGCGGATGAGACAGCTGCTGGCATCTGCTGTCACCTGCACCATGGCTCTGCAGTACCTCAAGGACCATGGTTGGCTGTGGCTGTAATGGGTGTGACTGTAACGAGTATGGCCAACTGGTGGGAGCCGGCTGGGGACGGTCGGGCTGCTGCTGACAGGGAAAATCGCACAGTTGACTGTGACTGTAACGGGGTGATGAATCACGGACAGTATAATGTGTTTACAAATGCAAAACTTCACAGCCACACGCTGGTTGGCCCAAAAGTCACCCTTTACAAGCACATGGACGTGGGTTGTTAATGCTCATAGCCCCCCACATGCTGAGTTGCTGATGCGCAGCAACAAGTAATTGCACAAGCTAGAGATCTTCAATTTGCGATGTTTGATAGCGCTTGTGCACTACATTACCTAGTTCACTCACTGTTTCCTCGCACAACCGTCTATATTTTTTAACAGTGCCGATTTGTGGAATAGGCATCGTCAAAACTGCTGAATATCACTTGCTCTCCTTTCCGGGGCTGGATGTACTACTGCGTGCCCATAACCAGTGGCAGGAGAAATGTTTTTTCATCTATTCACCACTTTTCGCATTTTTCTAGTTCAGAATTGTTTGTTGCACACTTCTAAACAGGCTGCACTGGTCTTGGTTGGCATACAGATGAGTAAAATGTGAAAAAAAAAAGTTCCAGGCATACCGTACAACACTGTTGCAACGGGCTCAGCACTGCAGGTACAGGTACACTGAACTATTGACAAGCAAGAAAAGCAGGATGGTTCGACCATGCCTCTGCTCCTGCAGGAGCCTTATTCACTCTGCACTAGCTACTCGAAGCAGCGATTGAGATTCCACCAAAAAAGCCATTGCAGGCAGCGAGAAAACTGCCTCAAGGAGAGCAGTGCTGGCTGTGCAGTGGAGCAGGCGAGAAAGACAAACGGCGCTTATTTAACAGGAAGGGCCGTTAAAGACCAGGGACAAAGGGCATGTGAGAGGACTGCACTGTGGAGGGTGGCGGGGGGCGGGTGGCGGGGGGAGGAGCGGAGAAGAAAAGTGGCAGGCACGGGTGGAGTGCAGCAGCATCTGTTGATTGAGCCTTGAAAGGTGACAGCTCGTAGTCGGAAGTCATGGTGTGCCTTTGAGCTGCCTAAGATGATGTGCTGTCCTTCCCGCCTGCAGCGGCGTGACGTTGACCGGCACTCTACAGCGGCGTGACGCTGATCTGCACCTTCATGCCGCCCGGCCCGCAGTGGCTGGGCACGGGGCATGCGAAATAGAGCCCGGTGGCTGCATCACCTGCCTGGACTGTGTACCTGCAGAGGGGGGAAGCAGGGATGGAGGAGACAGAGACGACGGAGGGGAGAAAAAGGAGCGGGTGAAGGAGGCAGGCGATGCTTTTGAGTCGACTCAAAAGCAGTGGCGACGGAGAATTAGGGAGCAGGTGATGGCGGCAGGCGATGGGAAAGAAAGCATGCACGCACCAACCAAGCAAGTGCTTGCGAGCTGCCGGAAGTTGAAACAAGAGCAAGTGCAGGAAAGGGCGAGAGAACACGCCGGGGGGAAGGGGGCGAAAGAAGGAGTGAGGAAGATCGAGAGAACAGGAAAAATGGAGGGTAACCTGACAAATCTAAAGAAGCGCAAACACCGGAACTTGGAGCTGGCGCTGAGCTTGTGACATTGGGAGTCCATTAAACTCAGCTGGTGCTGAGGGCACCTGTGACTTCGGGAGCACGCCTGCACAAAATTTTCGCTTGAGTGCACCTGTGACATTGCGGCCGGATGGGGAAGGAAGATCGAGGGAGCAGGGCAGCGAAAGAGTAGTACCTGGTGTAGTGTAGCCAGCGAAGCGAATGGCAGTGACCTTGAAGCTGCCGCTGAAGGCAACTTTGAGATACGGTCGGATGGGATGGGAGAGGAAGAGGGAGCGAGCAGGGGGTTTAAGTGGGGCTTCTGGGGGTTGTGGTACCTGGCATAACCGAAGAAACGAATGGGAGCGACCTTGGTGCTGCCGCTGAAGTCGCAGTTGTCATACGCCGTGCCACTCGCCAGCTTGCGCACGCCGTGCGGCCAGAAGCCCCACTTGAACACTGCGAGCCGTGTGGTGTGTGTGGAGAGGTGTGTGCGGGTGAGAGGGGGAGAGAGGGAGAGTGCATGCCACAGTGCAGGTGAGGGGAATATGGGGAGGGAGGGAGAGCAGGAGGGAGTGAGGACGATTTGGTTAACCACAGGGGAGTCTAGCCAAGAGAGAGCGCAGGCTGAACAAGGAGCAAGTGGAGTAAAATACCCAGGCTGTACACAAGCCTATCAGCACATCATAGGTTCCCGCTCTCCATGACATCTCCCTGCTCGCAAGGCGCTTGCTCCAAATTCGCTTGGCTTGACTGGGTGTTGACTGGCGTTGATTAGTGTTGACTCACCGAGCACATCACCCGGCCTGATGACAGGCTGCCGCCACGACTGGCGGACGTAGAAGGACCACGGCAGGGGACCGTACCCCACCAGCACCGCCTTCGCCTGTGGAGAGGGGCGCGAGGAGGAAGGGGAGGAGGGAGGGGAGGAGGGAGGGAGGAGGGAGGGGAGGAGGAGGGAGGGAGGAGGGAGGGGAGGAGGGAGGGGAAAAAAAGAGAGAGACATCATCAGTCAACGGTCGGGGCGAGGAGGAAGCGACAGGTGATGCAGTCAAAGAGTCAACTTGCTGCAGCCAGTCTCTACTGCATTTGCTTGAAGGTCCTTAGCAGTCGTTGGAAAAACGGCTCTTGGCAGGGTGCTTGCCTGGGCTTGCAGCAGGACTGGCAGCACACGTCAACAGCAGGCACACGCCACGTGTGCGACATGCAGGGCGCGTGCGGCGCGTTCGTCATGAACGACAGGTCAGCAGCAGAAGCGGCGACGTTCATGGCCGCCGTGCCACGTGCCATGCGGGCGTTGTCGCGCCGTCAGCAGCAGAGGCGGCGCGGAAAGGGGATGATTGGGGCCGAGAAAACGGCGTGTAGGTTGGATTGAAGGAGAGGGGGGAAAGGGGAGGGGAAGGAAGCGGAGTTGGGAATAAGTTGCAGAGAGAATCAAGAAACGTGGGTAAAGCGAAAGGCGAGTGTAAAGCCCACTGGGTTTAAAACGGGGGTGTTGTAGACGCGCAGCGGATGTCTTCCAACCCTTCTTGTGAGCCCGCAGGTGTTACAGCGAGAAGCACGAGGAGAGAGTGAGTGACTCACGCGGCGCGAGGAGCACGAGCGAGCAGAGGAGAATCGCTGCGCGGGCTGACGCCATGGCTGATCGCGACACGGGTCGATTTCTTAGAGACCAAGTTCCTGGAATTTTAGTTCTTGAGACGACGGAGAGAGGTTGAAAAAGGTATCTCACTTCCAACCTCAGGCGATTCGGTGCCGCGACAATTAGTTAACCTCGTGGTAAGCGTTGCGTACAAGAATATAATCTCAAGAGCGCCACAAAATACTATGTCACAATGGCTTGAAGCCGCCATTGAAATACAAGCAGAGTGATCAGTGGCGCTGCGCGCCGAGCGCTACGTTGAGCTCTGAGCAAGGTGAGGTTAGGGCACGGCAAGGTTCGATCTTGAGCGCGGCGCGGCTGCTTTCTTGCGATCTGATTCGTTGCGGCTGCAAGGGGATGGACGGCGGCCTTCACGGCTCATAAGGGTGGCTAGCCCCGAGCGCGCGCCGTACCGACGGTATGGGCGGCTTTTGTAGGCTGGAAGGGATAAAATGCACGGCGCCGCAAAAACTACGTTGGAAGAGCAAGAAGCCAAAATAGAAGAAGCTGTGGCAGTAGTCGGTCGGTGGCTAAAGCGAGGGCCAAGGGATAGCCAGCCACAGAAGAAGCTGTTCCGTTCAGGCAGCTGCGAGCAGCAAGCAGCGAGCAGCGAGCCGCGTGTTGGTGTTGCCGCCGAGCCCACAGGATGCCGCCACGTGTGAGTCTTAGCTCCATCCACTTTACAGGCAAGGAATTTGTATGAAGCCTGAACACTTACGGGCAAGTGTAATCAATTGCAATTTAAAATCGTTCAAGAATCTAGGTACCATTGTGAGCAAGATGAAGTTTGACAATTGGGAAATATCTAAGATGGCGGCCAGGCCAGGGCTTACTTTTCATTTTTAGGTACTTAACTGTAGCATTGTTGTCGTTTTGAAACCCTGATAATTAGTATCCCCCATGGAGATTTTATTTAGCCGCCATGGTAATCGTTGTTTCCTGGAAGAGAATACATATAAGCAGGAATGTAAGATTTTCCGTAACTATATTGATGTGTGCATAGCAAGAATATGCACCACCAACACAAAGGGTATTACTATACTAAGTCTACACTAAATGCGATTATACGTATATATAAAAATATATGTTTTCTAACTGTAAGGAAATTCCCTTTTCCTTACTTCGCATCTCTGCTCAACGCGTACATCACTGTAGCACCTCAGTCAGCACCGTTACCACTCGCGACCATCGCATCATTCATCATCCCGCCATTTTCGCACATCGCATCCCGACCTCACGGCTCGGCTGGTAACCCGCGCTCCGGGCCTACGCTTCGACACGTTCCCAACCTCAGTCCCAGGCTCGTCGCGCGACCATTACCGTTACCACTGTAGTTTCGCTATATATTCTTCGCTCATACCTTGGCTCATTGTACTCTTGTTTCGATAGTGCAATTCTCGCTCGTTCACTCAATTGCATTCGTAACACTTGGTATTCAGAGCCTACGATCCCATCGCGGACCGCATCCACACCTTCACTTCCCCACTATCTCAATTTTTTGGGGGGGTAGACGTCTCTCAGCGATACAGCACCGCCGCTCGTAGTGCTCTCTCGCAAGCACGCACGGCCACGACCGAGGCTCTCGCTGAGCTTGCCCGACACCCCCGCCATGGCCGATTTCACGCTCGCCACATTGACGCAGGAGCAACTTGATCGTCTCGTACGTCAACTGGAGGATTCGGCGCTTGAAATCGCGACCCTCACAGCGGAACGTGACTCCGCCCGTCAACAATCCACGATGAACGTACCGACGACATCCCACGCACCAACAAACGCATCTGCACGTTCGGATGAGCCGATCATCATCTCGTCCGGCACACCAACACAACACGACAGCACGGGACAACGCTCAGGCGCAGCCAGTGAGGGCGCCGCCCAGCCGATGCCTGGCATGGGAGGAAACAGGATCGCACCAAGCCCACGGGAGCCTCGAGAAGTCCGTCGGCACGAGGAATTTGCGGCGACAAGTGGCGAACAACCCAACATGGCACCAATGCCGCTCAAGCCGCAACGCCCGCCCTGCTTCGACCCAAGTCAACGCGGCGGTCCGACAGTTCAATCGTGGGTCTTCACGATGAACGTTTTCTTCGACGCCAATTACGTCGAGTCGGACGCCGCAAAGATCCGGTATGCGGTTTCACTGCTAAGAGGCCCCGCCATGGACTGGTGGCGAGTCATCGTGACGTCGCCACGCGCCTACGAGCCACCGTCGCACGAGGAAGGGCCCTCGGGTCCAGCTGTCACCTGGAGTTCGTTCTGCGAGACCGCCCAATACAGCACGTGGGATGCGTGGTGCGCAGGACTTCGGGCGCGTTTTGAGCCGATCGCGGCTTCAATTTCGGCGCGTCAGAAACTGCGCACTTGGCGCCAGCTCGGGTCAGTTCAAGACTATACCAGCGGTTTTCTCGCACTTTGCGAGCAGGTCGGCTACATGCACGAAGCGGAGCGGGTGGACCGTTACGTCGGAGGGCTGAAGCCGGACATCTCGCACGAGATAATGCTGCGCGGACTCTCTAACTTCAACGAGATTCTCGCGCTCGTCGAGAAGATCGACATTCTACGCCGACCGAGACCGGGGTCCTATTACGGACATCGTCCTCGGGGACCGACCGAGCACGCCACTGTACACGCCGTCGCAACGAATGCAGCTGCCGCACCGTTTAAGGGGCGCTGATTTGCTTGCAACAGGCCGGGCCATCGCAAGAGCGAATGCCCAGAGGAGCTGAGGCGCCGAGGAGCAGAGCAGGGGAGGGAGTCTCAGAGGCAGGGAAACGCCAGCAGTCAGTAGAAGTTGGGCCAACTACTGACGAGACTGCCTGCTCGCCCAACCACACCGACCCTCACCGAGTCACAGTACCGATTCATGCCATCGATCGGGCTCGGATGAATAAGGAGGGTACAGCGACGGATTGCCCGGTACTAATCTACGGGAAAATACAGGGAGCAGCAGTGAAGATTTTTATTGACGGAGGAGCAAGTCACAGCTTAGTTAATACCGCAACCGCACGGAAATTACAGTTAACACTTAACCGATGCTTACCTGAGATAGATGCACGCTTAGTCGATGGCACGCCACTGGCTATACGGGAAAAGGTGGAGAGGGTAAAGGTCCGCTGCGGAGGGAACTTCGGGTTTACACAGGAAATGCTCGCAACGACACTGGATGGGCACGGCATTTTATTGGGACGTGATTGGCTGCGACGGTATAACCCACGAATTGGCTGGACGACGGGTAGCTGCACAGTGCGAAGTATGTCAGAACATATAGCTTACTTGTTTCTGTAGGCTATAGTGGGGTATCCCATAGGGGGTACAACCCAATTAGGGTTTCCTATTTGTACTCACTTCGTTCATAGTCATTCCATTCTCGTTCACACTTTCTCATGGAATCAGAGCAGGTCCCTTCTTAGGGCCTGTTCCTAGGGCCCACCGAAGCGCGCCCCGAGGCGCGCATTTTTTTTTCGCGACCCTCCGTGTCGCCCTCCCCGTCGTGCTCCCGCTTAGGCCACTCGTCGGCCCCGCCTAGGCCCCTCGTCGGCCCCGCGTAGCCCCCGTCGGCCCCACTTAGGCCCCGCGTCGGCCCCACCTAGACCCCGTCCGCTCCTCGTCGGCCCCGCCTAGGCCCCACGTCGGCCCCGCGTAGCCCCGCTTAGGCCCGTCGGCCCCGCTTAGGCCCCGCTTTGGCCCCGCGTCGGCCCCGCCTAGACCCTGTCGGCCCCGCGTTGGCCCTGCTTAGGCCCCGTCGGCCCCGCGTTGGCCCCTCTTAGGCTCCGCCGGCCCGCCTAGACCCCACTTCGGCCCCTCGTCGGCCCCGCCCAGACCTCGTCGGCCCCGCCACGGCCCTACGCCGGCCCCGCTTCAGCTGCTGTCGGCCCCGCTACAGCCCGCCACTGGCCCCGCTACACCCCGCCACTGGCCCCGCTACAGCCTGCCACCGGCCCCACTACGGCCCGCCGTTGGCCCCGCTACAGCCCGCACCGGCCCCTGCTACAGCCCGCCGCCGGCCCAGCTACAGCCCGCCCCCGGCCCAGCTACAGCCCGCCGCCGGCCCAGCTACAGCCCGCCGCCGGCCCAGCTACAGCCCGCCGCCGGCCCCGCTACAGCCCGCCACCGGCCCCTGCTACAGCCCGCCGCCGGCCCAGCTACAGCCCTCCCCGGCCCCGCTACAGCCCGCCGTCGGCCCGCCGTCGGCCCCGCTACAGCCCTCCCCGCGGCCCCTGCTGCAGCCCGCCGTGCTGCACGTGAGCAGCCCCAGCAGCCCGCGCCGCCCGTGAGCCCCTACGCCACCCGAGCCGCGCGAGCCGCCCGAGCCGCCCGAGCCGCCCGAGCCGCCCGAGCCGCCCGAGCCGCCCGAGCCGCCCGAGCCGCCTGAGGAGCCGTGCTGCTGTTCCTGAGCTGTGTTCCTCTGCTGCTGACCTACCCGACTCTCCCACCCCGGTGAGACTTTCAGCTGCTGCCATGGCCACCCCCAATGTTCTTACTTTTGACGCTGAGGGGAGGGCCATTGACTTTGCCGTCT